CGTGCCCCATCCGGGGATGGCGGCTGACGTGAGCCAAGGATGGCTGCCTCCGTGTCCTGAGGGACAAGCAGCAGGAGAACTACACCGGTTGGGTGACCTGCAGTCCACAGAGGTGGCAGGCAAGCTGGCCAAGCCCTGAGGGTCTAGGCGCTGTCCCCTTGAACAGCAGAGGAATGAGCCTGGCAGGGACGGGGGCCAGGCAGGGGCAGCTCCCTCATCTCCCAGCCCCCATGTCCGTCCTGGGCATCGAGAACGTACCCTATGTAGATGGGGCTGCTGCTCCACCTGCAAGACAGCTGCTCAAGCTGGGAGGCCAGCTACCTGTCCAGACACAGGTGCCAGCCCCTTCCTCCCCAGGGCACTGGGTGCAGCCTCCCAGACACCTGCTGCAGGCAAAGCGCCGTTCCCCTACACCCCACCTACCAGGCCAGCTCCACAGGTGCTTCGGACTCACCGGGTGTGCTGCAGGCAGGGTGCTCGGGCCGTCGTACTTTGCCCCCCCACCCTGAGAAACCCATCCACGCTCTCCAGGGGAGGGGTCTCCCAGGCAGCGGGAAGGGACTTCCCAGCAGGCTGGAGGATGCCAGCTTGGCTGGGCCAAAGCAGACACGTCCCTGCTGTGAAGGTGGAATCCTGCAGGAAGAACTGGGGACATATTCTATCCCAACCCCATCCTCACACACAGTGACCTTGAGCAAGTCACATGTTCACATGTTTCTGAGCCTCAGTTTCCTCATCTGCAAGAGGAGGGGCTGGGGCAAATGACTAAAACACTACAGCTCGAAATTCTCGGCACTGTCCTCTTGTACTTTCTCCAGGCGATCACTTGATCCTACGCATGGGCCTCATTTACCCCAGCTAAGTCTCAGTTTTCCCATCCGAAAACTGGGTACAATAACATCCCCAAAGCAGAGCTTTTTTGGTTTCATGTTGCTGACTGAGACCCGTTAGGCAGGCAGGGAAATCAATTTAACGAGTGGCAGCCACGCTTTGTAAATACCAGAACACAGCAGTGCACGCCGTGCCGTGAGGGCGCACGCCGTGCCGTGAGGGCGCACGCCGTGCCGTGAGGGCGCACGCCGTGCCGTGAGGG